TCCCTCTCTTTCATTTTGTTTTTGAATCTGGGTCTCTGTTGCTTAGGCTGGAGTGCAGTATCATAATCATGGCTCACTGCATCCTCGATCTCCTATGCTTGGCTGATCCTTTCACCTCAGCCTCCTGAGTAGCTGGGACTACAGGCGTGCATTACCATGCTTGGCTAATTTTTAATTTTTTCTGTACAGATGAGGTCTTGCTATGTTGCCTAGGCTTGTCTCAACTTCTAGGCTCATGCCATACTTCCACCTCAGCTTCCCAAAGTGCTGGGATTACAGGTGTGAGCCACTGTGCCAGGTTTGTCCACCTGTCATTTCTATTCACACCCCTTTAATTTCAACCTTTTATTATCAAGTTGTTTTATGTGTGTTTCTTGTAAACAAGTTATTGTTAGTTTTCCTTCCTTCCTTCCTTCCTTCTTCTTTTTTTTTAAAGAAAAACCAATTTGATATCTTTGCTTTTAACAGGAGAATTCAGTTTGTTGCTTTTGGTGTAATGAGATGTTTACTTTTCAACTACCAATTTCAAATAACATCCTCTAACTCCTCTCTTAACTCAATAAGGTGAATTTTTTTTTAGTATTTACTGCTTCCTTCTGCCTCCACTCCCTACTCTTACATTTACTGTAGTAATTTATCTTTAGTTACAGCTTGGTATCAGAATTTCTTTTACAATGTGTGTCTCCTAATTCAAATGTCCTTATTTAGAACTTAGTATACATTTCCAGATAGTCTCTCCTCACCCATTTTGCTTTTAATTTTAGATAATCCTCTCTTGGTTTATTACCTACCACTGTCTCCTCTTATCTCTCTCCATCTTGATGTCTCTGTTCTGGTCTCCTGATGTTTCTCTCCTTAGATGGGGCTCATGAGTGATTCACTCCTGAGTTCTTGCAGAGCCTTACATCTTTCTTTTGTCCTGACAGGTGTATGGTGACCTGGCTGGGAACACGACTCTTGGATTTTCAGCCCTTTTATCTTAGCAGCATGTAAATGTGATTCCACAATCTTTCAGCTCCATTGCAGGTGACGTCTAATGCCAATCTGATTGGTTTTTCTTTTATAGTAAATACTTCTTTCTGCCATTAAACATATAAGATTATTCCTTTATTCTTGGTGTTCTGGAACTTTATATCAGTAAGTGCAGAAGTGTGTCATTCTCATCAATCTAGCATGAAATTTTTTGTTTCTTCAACTTGGACATTTTCAATTTAATGTTTAAATCTATTCCAACAGTTTTATTTCTAAACTATTCTTTCCCACACCAGATCTCAATCTCTTCTGTACTCTGTGGTTTCTTTCAGGGTACTATTTTGGGGCTCAGTGGAAACTATGCATTTCTCAACTCATTTACTGCAGTTTTAAGCTAGGAAATAATTTTAAAGGTTTTCTTTAGCGATATATTTTGTATATGTGGACATATGAAAAACTTTGATTTATTAAACCCGGTTTCTTGCTTGTATTATTCAGTTTTTCTGTCATTAGCTTGTCTCCTAAGTTTTTAGTTCCAAAAAATTCTTTTTTTTCTGGTGGGCCCTCCCCTTGAATTTTTTCTTTGAGACAGGATTTCACTGTGTTGCTTAGGTTGGAATGCAGTGGCATGATTCAGGCTCATTGCAGACCCAAACTCCTGAGATCAAGTGATCCTCCTGCCTTGGCCTCCCAAAGTGCTAGGTTTACAGGTGTGAGTCACTGCATCTGGCCCATACCCTTTGAATTTTCTGAAGTGCTTTCTTATTCTTTGTTAGTACCTCTGGCAGCTCTCATTTTCTGGGCTGATACTCTGTCCTTAATGACCTTTATTCTAGCTTCTAGGCTTTCTGATAGGCTATTATTACTTTCTGTCACCTCACTGGGGCCCAAGAATGGTTGTTGGTGTCCCTTGAGAGACAGTAGCCTTAGTTTATAGACAGTGAAGTAGTGTCTTCTCCCTAGTCAAGCAGCACAGAAATCAGTCCGTAGGAAGAAGCTTCTCTAGGCTGTGGTCTTCCTGGCCTCTTGCCAGATTTGGTCCCAGGGTGGATTTGGCTCCATTTGCAGTTTTCCTCAACTGGAGTTCTGAGAGAGAATTAAACTCTAATGTCCAGAGGCATCCATTGGATGTAACAAATTAACTTCTCTCCTCTGCATCTAGAATGGTTCTTTGTACCATCTTTGGGAGAATTGAGAAAACAGGCATTCAAATCACTTTTTGCAGTGCTTAACTCACATGGATTCCTGATAAGGAATGCTGTTGACCTTCCCTGACTGATGGAGGAATCCCACAGCTCTCTGGAGCCCATGCTCTTCCCAAGAGTCAGTACAGTGGCTGAATATATGGGTTTCAGAACCACACTGCCTGGATTGGAACATAGGCAAATGACGTAACTTTTCAGTATCCTAGCACACTGTGAGCCCTCCATAAATGTGCCTTTGTTTATGGACATAATTGCTGCTGTTGCTTCTCCTTCCTCATTGGCCAGCATCTACTGCTTGCTTTGACACTGCTCTAGCCTGCCCAGTCCAAGGTGAAGAGAGTTCTATCTCCTTTCTCACAGTCTGGACCCCAGGGCCTCCTTCTCTTTGAACCCAGGAGCTATTGGCTCAGGAGAGGCGGGTATTGTGGGGCTGGGCTGGGTGGGGATTGGGCACCATATTCTAGTTGTCATGACATCAAAATCTTTAAAGGCATTCCTGGCTGAAGATGTCCTGTCAATATCTATGAGGGGCATTGACCTGGGGAAGTTTCCTGTGCTCTCCTAGAGGCGTTACGGACATCTTTTAGATAAATGTGATTAGGCACCTAGCAAAGCAGGAGGCATCTGCTTCAAAGGGAGAGAGTCATTCATTCTGTGGAGTGGGTTTCAGCCTCCATGAGTGCAACATACCTGGAGGCTTGGCTGGGACTTGTGCACATCCCCCCAACTCAGGACCCACACTTGGTCATGTGACTTATCATAGAACAGCTTGGCCGGCAGAGGGTCCACACCTATGGACTTGAAAACAAATAGTGACAAGTTGGTCATTAGAGTTGTGAAAGCTGACATGATGGTCATTTCTGGTATTCATGTGCATGGACACCACTCCTGGGTGAGGGGAAGGCTGACTGAGGAGCCTTACTAATGATCCCATTTGGGAACCCAGGGCAGGAGCTTCCCCTCTGGCTTTTTTCTCAGAGGCTTAAAATTAGTTGTCAATAATGTTCTCCGTTTAAAAAAAAAAAAGACTTTTCTGCACATCTTACTTAAAGGGATCTAGACCAACTTGGCAAATGCCTGAACACAGAGGTTTCAAGTTTTCCCTTCAGAAACCAGCTCCAGGGTTCCTTCACTTCTCTTCCTGTCTTGTGGGCCTCTTGGACTCTCAGTATCTTTCCCTAGACAACTCTGTGACCTGGATTCTGGTGAACTGGCTCTTTCTTCTAGGTCATCTGAAGTGGACTTTGAGAACATTCATTATTGCCCCTCCCTATCTTTGTTCTACTCTGAGCAGTCTCTAATTTGCACATCCTTTGAATGGAACCTCTGGGACTTAGACTGTAGCATCAGGTGGACTCTCTTTTTAAACTGTAGTAACCGAAACTCTTCTATTCCCTGAGAATACAGGTTCTCCCGTGGCCCGATCAAGAAAGGGATGTTTTCTCTTCTACTTCTTAAACTGTAGTTTTATAAGTTCAAAAACTATTCGGTAATGCTCATATCTCTAGACTATGACCCCTTGTTCTTCTTATCACCAGTCAATATTCTAGTCACTCCCACTCATTTCTAACCTTTTTGGTCTGGGAAAGAAAACAAACAAACAAAAAACCTCTGTCAACTTCTCTAAAGAACTGTCTCTGGAATTCCTGCACTTCTCCTTAACTCACTTCCACCAAGTTTTATCTTTGTCTTTATCACTTCACTGAACTATCCTAGACTTCAAGCCAAATTCAGAGATCACTTTACAATCCTCTTACTTGACATTGCAGCAAGATTCCACGTGGTTAACTATTTTCTTCTAGAAATGCTTTCTCGACTATGCCTTCCACCCCCCTGGGCTTCTCTTCATCTTGACTTCTAGATTTTGGCATGTCCAGGTCTTCATCCTTGGCTCTACATCTATCTGTTCACTGGATGAGCTCATCCAGGACTAAGGCTTCTGACAACGCTTTATACTCTGATGACTCTAGAATTCACTCATTTGGACAGTCTCAACCTAATGTATGCAGAATTGAGCTCTTGATTTTGCCCACCCCTGATGAAATGTCTTTTCTCTACTTGACACCGTATTTGAAGTGTTCCTTTACTTTTTTGATATAACTCCTCCTCCTGTCTCCTGAGCCTCAAGTACAGGCTGTTTTTATTTTCCTGTCCTCTGAGCCTTAAGTACAGTTGTCTGTTTATATTTTCCTAGACTTCACATACCCTAGGTCTTTTGTAGCCTCTAGCTACCCCTCCTTGTTCCTACCACCTGGTAGCTTATTGGCTACTTCCCTCTATTTACTTCCCTTTATTTAGTGCTTGATATTTTCTTCCTCTTCCCAGAGCTTCCTAAGCCATCAGTAAAGATGCCATCTTATGCAATCTCAAACTTCTCGCACATACTCTCTCTAAAAAACCCCTTCTTGACTATATATTCTACTCCAGCTACCCCATTTATTTGTCCGCTATACAGCAACTTTTCCTGAAGTTTGGACTGTAGCCATTCTCTCCCTTTTCTGCTTAACTTTCTCCCATCAGATTTCATATTCTTTTTCTGAAGTGGCACAGAGAGTTAAATCCAAAATCTCTTAAATTCAGAACAGAACTTTACATAGTCTCAATGTGCTGAGGAGCAAGGATATGTCAGGGAAGAGATTTTGGTAAAGAAGCCCTTGGGTTGGTGGTGGATCAGAGACAGACTGAGCCTTACAGAAGTTTCAGCTCAGCTTTGATTCAGTTTAGTCACTGATTAAAGTGATTAGTTCTACTCTCTCTGCTTAGCAGAGGAAAGGGTAAACCCTCTGTAGTGGATGATAGTCATTTAAAATCTCTATAGCTTTTTATATAGAATGTTTGGCATTAACAAAAAATTACTAGGCATTCCAAGAGACAGATGACATGACTGAAATAAAACTAATATGACAATGGAAACAGACCCACAAGTGATCCATAAAAAGATAATTAAAAATTTATATAAAAAGGAAATTAAGTATAAATTTTAAAAGTGAAAAATGCAATGCCTGAAAAAAGAACTCAATAAATAGGCTTATGTTAAACCCATGTTAGACGCAGCAGAAGACAGGATTAGTAAACTGAAAGCAGGCTGATAGACTATCCAAGGTGAAGCAGAAAGAGACACGTAAGATGCAATGGAAAGGTCTAACTTTTTTTTTTTTTTAACAGAGTTTCCAAAGAAGAGGTGAGAGAGAAGGCGAGGCAGAAGAATACCTGAAGAGGCAGTGACTGAGAAGTTATTAGTCTGATGAAAGATATCAATGCACAATTCAAGAACTTCTGGAAACTCTAAATCAGAATAACTACAAAGAACACCATGCCCACAAACATCATAGTTAAACTTCTAAAGACCACCAGGCAAATCAGGAAAACAGAGAAGAAAATGATACATTACCTTCAAAATAGTAACAGTAAAACTGACTGTTGGCCTATCAAAAAACCAAACAAAAACAATAATAGAATGACATCTTAAAATGCTGAAAGAAAATAGTTGCCAATATAGAATTCTATAGTCAGTGAATATATCCTTCAGAAATATAAAATATATTTTCAAACAAAAACTATAAGAATCTGTTGCCAACAGGTCTACAATAAAAGAACTATTAAAAAATGATTCTTTGACAGAACTGTGTACTTCAGGAATAAAAAGCAATAGAAAGGGTAAATGTGTGGATGAATATAAATTACTATGTACTATAAAAATAGTAATAATCATATCCTGGTGAATTAAGTTATATATACAGTTAAAATTCATTATCGTAATAATACAAAAGGCAGGAGGAGGGTTAAAGTATTCTAAGGTTCTGACATTATTAGGGAATTAGGTAATAATTTGTATGAGACTATCAGTGCAGTGATATGTGTTGTAATAACTATGGTATTAATAACATACCATTTATAATGTATAAATGTAAAACAACATAAAAAGGTACATCTTCAACAAACTAATAGAGGAAAAAATAGAATAAGAAAAGTATCTGACAAATCTAAAAGAAAGCAAAAAAGGATAAAAAGAAGCAACATAAACAGGTAGGTCAAATGAAAAACAGCAAGATGGTAGATAAAACTCAACTGTATAATTAATTACATTAAATATAAATGGATCAAATATTCCAAGTAAAAGGCTAAGATTATTAAACCAGATAAAACTCTGACTCCAACTACATGTGACTTTATAAAAAAGCACCTTAAATATGACATAGAAATGTTGAAAATAAAAGGATGGAAAAATTATACCATGAGAACACTAATAAAAACAAATCTGATTTAGCTATGCTAGGTTAGTATTAGACACAATAGACTTTCAGGCAAGCAGCACTATCAGAGATAAAGAGGGATATTTTTAAGAATAAAGGAGTCTTTCTCCTAGGGAGATATCATTTTAAAGCAAAACAGAACTTTGAGAAATAAATAAATCTACAGTCATAGTAGAAGACTTTAACACAACTCTCAGCAGTTGATAGACTAAGCAGACCAAAAGAAATCGCTAAGAACATCTGAACAATACAATGAACCAACTTGACATAATTGACACATATATAGAATATTGTGCCTAACCACATTCTTTTAAAATGCACATGGAACATTTACCAAAACTGTTCATATGGTCAGTCATAAAACAAGCTTCAATACATTTCAAAGGATTGAAATATTCAGAAGATGTTCTCTGGTCAGAGGAATCAAAAACAAAAAGATAGTCAGAAAATGTTCTATTTGCTAGGAAAAAAAAATGACCATAGTTATTTCCAACTTTATTCCCACAATAAGCCTGCACTAGAGCAGCTCAGTATTGCTGAAAAAAGAGACACAACTCTGCTGACTGATCTCACTTTAAATTTACACCCACAATTCTTTTTTTTTTTTTTGCTTGAGTTGGGGTCTCTCTCTGTTACCCAGACTGGAGTACAGTGGCACAATCATGGCTCACCATAGCCCCAACCTACTGGGCTCAAGTGATCCTTTCACCTCAGCCTCCTAAGGAGTTGGGACTGCAGGCACATGCCACCACACCCAGCTAATTTTTAATTTTTAATTTTTTGTAGAAATGAGGTCTCGCTGTATTGTCCAGAATTCCTGATCTTGAATTCCTGGTCTTGAATTCCTGAGCTCAAGCAATCCTCCTATCTTGGCCTCCCAAAATGTTGGAATTACCGACATGAGCCACTGCGCCTCGCTCCATGTTCATTAAGTGGTCCCTCATTATTGCCCAATAGTCCTCTCACATTTGCCTGGTTAATTCAGTGTTGTGTTCAACTTTCACTTTCTCTCCTCAAACCTCCTGTCTTGATATTTTTTTCTTCTCATTTCACCGAGAAGAGCAACCAGAAGAAAAGTTCATGCAGCTACCACTGATTGTATCACCTATTTGTACCTGTGTCTGAATACTTTCCATTTTCTCCTGCTATAATGAAAGAATATGCTTTCATCTGAGGCTGATTTCCATTTGTGTGCCTTGGTTTCAGTGACTCCTGCCTAAACTGAGGATAGGGGAGAGAAAGAGAAGAACTGTGGGAGCAGTTATTCCCTTTAGCATACAAGCGCTGTAATGTCACCTATTCACGTTCCTTCAGCTTCCCCTTCTGGCTACTGACTCATTTGTCTGTTTACTTTATGGCAGAACCCTTCCACATGGCTGTCTATATGCACCATCTCCATGTCCTCCCCTACCGTTCTCACTTGAATCCACTGCAGTGGGCTTGCATTCCACCCCTATCCTAGCTATTCCTGTCAAGGTGATCCATGAATCTGGTACCAGATTCAATAATCAGTTCTCAGTCCTCATAACACACAAATACTCTTAGCACTTAACACCATTGACCACTCTCTCTCCTTAGAAACACTCTTCTCCTGGCTTTGGGAATACCACCTTCTCCTAATTTTCTTCCTACTTTTCAGTCTATTCCTTCCTGGTTTCCTTTTTCATCTTCTTCTTTCCTTACTGATCTTTATTTATTTATTTAGAGTTAGGGTCTCACTTAGTTGCCCTGGCTGGAGTACAATGGCATGATCACTGCTCACCACAGCCTTAACCTCCTGGGCTCAGGTGATCCTTCTGCTTCAGCCTCCATGAGAGTAGCTGAGACTATAGCAGGAGTGTGCTGTCACATCAGGCTAGCTTGTTTTATTTTATTTTTGTAGAGATGAAGTTTTTCCCTAGTTAATTCAGTCTTGTGTTCAAATTTCACCTCTTTCCTCAAACCTCCAGCCTTAGTGATAATTTTGCCTAGGCTCATCTTGAACTCCTGGGCTCAAGCGATCCTCCTTCCTTGGCTGGCAGTCATCATACCCGGCCTCCTTACTGATCTTTAAATGTTGGAGTGCTTCAGGCCTCCAACCCTGACCTCTTCTCTATCTGTAATACCCCTGGTGATTTCACATAGCGCTCTGGATATATACTACAGTCATATGGTGATGATACCCAAATTGATATCTCTGGCTAGGCCTCTCTGACTTAAGATCTATTTATTCATTGGCTTGCTTGGCATCTTTACTTATATACCTAATAGCATTTTACACCTAAATCTCCCCCTGCCAATCTGCTCCATGCTTTGTCACCTTGCCTTGCCCAAAGTCTCTTCTATTATAGTGTATTAGTTTCATGCTGTTGCAATAACAAATGATCACAGATTTGATGACTTTAAAACAACAGAAAATTATTCTCTTACAGTTCTGGAGACCAGAAAGCCAAAATAAATCTCACTGGGCTGAAACCAATATGCCAGTAGGGCAATGCTCCTTCTGGACCTGAGCACGGTTTTTTCAACCTCCAAAGCTGCATTTTTTTTGCATCCCTTGGCTCATGGCCCCTTCCTCTGATCTTCAAAGCCATCAATGTAGCATCTTGTTTCGGTGTTCATATTGCGTCCATTTATGTTGTTAAATTTCTTTTTGCCGCTTTCTTATAATACTTGTGATTACATTTAGGGCCCATCTAGATAATCTGGAATAATCTCTCAATTTAAAGTCCTTAATTTAAATACATCTGCAAAGTCCCTTTTGCTATGTGAGGTGACAGTCACATGTTCTGGAGATTAGGATGTGGACCTGTTGGGGGTTGTTATTCAGTCTATCACACATTGTAAATGGCATCACCGTTCTACAGATGCTTAAGTTAAAAGACAAACAACGTGATTCCCCTTTCTCTCAAACCTTACATTCAACCTATCAGAAAATCTTAGGCTTCATGTTCAAAATATATCAAGAATCTGATCATTTCTCACTACCTCCACTGCTACCGTCAATCTCTTGCCTGGATGATGACAGACTACATCCCTGTCCTACCTTCCTGTCTCTTCTTAACCCAGAAGCCAGATTAAGTCTTATAAAAATGTAAGTCAGGTTATGCCACTTTCCTGATTAAATCCTTCCAGTGGCTTTCTCACTGAAATTTCCTCATTTTGGATTTTGTTCTAGGTCCTAATTGGCCTCCAGGGTCCTATATGAGCTGGTCTTTGCTTACCCCTGGACTTCACGCATTCCACCCTTCCCTCATCATTGTCCCACCCCCAGAGTCTGGGTCCCACTGGGCACTTAGATTTCAGTTTCCATTCACCTCCAGAAAGAGGGTGACTTGAAAATAGTCTTACAGTTCCTCTGTCACACTGAACCTGGTTTTCCACAGCTGTGCTACTTACAGCTCCCTACAATTCTGATTTATAGTCTGTCTCCCCAGCTAGAATGTAAGTTCTAGGGACATCACTGCCATTCATGACTGCTTGGCAAATAGTAGACAATACTTAATGAACAGCTGCATGTGAATTGTTTCAGTCTGACCACCTCTCACAGTAGCTGGGGGGTGTGCAGAAAGCAAAGAGGAATGTGGGAGGCTGTGCCCCAGAATTTGGAGTCTCCCTCCCCCTTTAAAGAGGTGTACCTGTAGGACTTTCTGGGCTTGAATGTCGACCACAAGGACTCTGTTCAGTGCTGGCTGGGCCACATAGATGTACCGGTTCCTGACGTTGACGGCGGATGCCCACTGGCATGGCTGGGTTGCATTTTCTTCTCTTTGAGGACAGATTTCTTCCTATAAAGGAGACAGGCTGCCATATATCTTCTTAACTGCCCTTCCCCTCCGACACCTGTGAGTTTCCCTTCCCCTGACCCTCCTCTCTTTCTTTCCTCTCTTAGAATCCTCTGGACCCACAGAACACAGCACCCAAACCCTCCCACATCAGCAACTTCCTTAATGTTCTTTTCATCTTTTCAGCTCCAACTTTCTTGGCACCCTCTCAATTAGCAGCTTCCAGTTCATATTCCTTCACTCTTGTGCATTACCTTCTCTTCCTCATCCTCATTATTTAAACAACGTCTGGGAATGGCCAAACTTCTGAAAGAGTCACCTACGCTCGTTCTTCACCTCCTCAACTCTCTCACATGCCCCTTAGCCCTTTGGTCCTCACCTCAAAGCTGACATTCTCTCCAAAGTCAGTCTTGACTCCTTGCCTATCACTTTAAACCTCTGCCATCCTTCCTCAGTGGCTGATCCCCTGTTGCTGGATTCTGCTTGGCTTACTGGTCTCTACATGTTGGAGTGCCCAGGGTTCACGCCAAAATCTCTTTCTTTTCTAAAATCCACTTCCTTATTAATCACATTGAAACCTATGATTTTAAACACAGTACATGCTTACAACTCCCAATTCATATCCTTAGCTCAGGCCTCTTCCCTGAACTCCAGACTTATATAGCCAACTGCCTGGCTCTACTTGGTTAATTCCAAATATATACGTTTGAGATATATCTTGATTTTACCTCTCAATCCTGCTCATTCCACTCAAAACCTGGCAATTGTTGTTTTACTTGCACGGGCTAACAATGTATAATCTAGTGAAATGAGGCCATCCTTGACTTCTCCACCCTCTGTCCCATCCAATGTATCACACGTCATTTCAGCTGTACCTTCAAAATATACCCAGAATTAGGCTCTTTCTTACCACTTCTGCTCTATTAGCCTGGCTTGAGCCACATCACCTGTCACCTAGGTCACTGCTATAGCATCCATATATGCTCCTTGATTCCACCCCAGCCTTCTCCAACCTGTTCTCGACATTCACAGGACAGATCACGTGACCCCTCTTCTCAATCTGCCCTTCAACCCCAGTAGCATTCCTTCTTGCTCAGAATAAAATCTCAAGTCTTTCCTGAAGCCTACTCTGTATTCAGGTTCCTGCTTTTCTCTCCCTTACCCACCCCACTTCATGCACATGAGTGTGCTTGCTGTTCCTCAGTCACGCTACCCTCCTGTAACAAGGTCTTTGCATTGGCTGTTCCCTTTGCCGGGAATGCCCTTCCCCAGATAGTTAGTTACAAGGTATATTCCCCTCATTTCCTTCCAGTCTCTGCTTTGGTGCTACCTTATTGAGAGACCTTTTCTGATCTCATCTAGCTTAGTACCCCTTACATTCCTTATTCTATTTTTTCATTCGCCGCTTGACTTTGTCCACTTATTTGCATGGTCTTTCCTCCTTCATTAAACTGCAGGCTCCTCGAGAGCAGGGTCTTTGGTTCACTGTTATGTCCTTAGCACAGTACAGTGCTCAGCACAGAAATGGTACTTAAAATATATTTGTTGACTGAATGAATGAGTGAAAAGGAGAACCTTCTTTTCCCTTGTCTTCCACAATATACATTTTCATGGTTTTCCTCATGACTCTGGCCCAACTCTGACTCAATCTTCTTTGTGGTTCCTCTAGCCTACTTGTCCCTGAACTGTTGATAACCTCAGGGTTTTCATCTCGACATCGTATGAAATCATTTGCACAGTCCCTTGTCTGTCCACTTGACTTTGTCCAACACTCATGTGCTAACGGTGCCCGAATCTGTTTCTTTCACTCAGAAGCTTCTTCTCCAGGTCCCACTTGGTTCTCTCATGCCACCCCCATTTATCTCCTAAGTGACTGCAGTAGTGCTTTTCTAAAGCCACTTAGTCTACAGAAGTGGAGTTTGAACCCAGGTCTGCCTGACTTAAAAGCCTATCTCCTACTTATTGTATCATGCTGATTCCTGCTGGAAAAAAGTATACGTCTAACCCAATGAAGAGGCCTGACAGAGGGTGCACCAACTTCCTACTCACCTAGCACTTTAGAAAGAGGGTTCTCCCATTGTAACCCTCCTGTGGGGTGTTTGGACATTTTCTAGATGTAAAAACTGTGACTTGGGACTATTCCATGGCTCACTATGGTCTTATGTTGCTTAAAACACCTTCAGGACCTTTCTTACTGTGTTTTATTCTACCTTCCTTTTCAGGAAAATTGAGTCCTGGTTAGGATTTGAGAGATTCCCTCTAATTTACAGGTTAGGCTATGGCAAATATATGAGAAATTAGTGCCAAAGTGACAGAGTACAATTATGTAAACCTAATTGTTAGAAATTACTTAGGACCACTCTTTCCAACTGGCTTTATGGCTACTATATGGAAGAAAAATGTCTATGGAGGTAACACTTCCTAAAAACAATTAAATTAAGTGAAATAGCCTAGTAAACAGCTTTTCCCAAGCCACATATATGAGAAATGCCCGAGACATACCTACAACCAGCACAGCAATGCAGGATGCTTGTTGTAGAAACATGCCTGGACCGAGCTCTCTTCCTTCATGGACTCTGAGCCCATCTCTTTTCACTGGTCCATTCCTTGTGCACAGTTGAGTACACATTATGTGTATCCTCAAGGGAAAGGCATATGGTGGATTTCAGATGATCCTTTTGGAATCAGTGCTACAGTTTTATCCTCCAGGAGCTCAGGATATCACAAGGCCAAGTGGGAAATGAGCCATAGGGACAGGGGTCTGGTATGGGAGGCCCAGCCCTGGGAAAGGCTCCTGATAGCTGAGTCTTGAGTCTTTCCTAGATCTGCCAGCAGCAATAATCTTTTCTGTCTCTGCCTATTGCATGTTATGTTGTCACTTTCTGCCCAGCCCTAATTCTCTGCAGGTTACCGATGAAATACATGTTTGACAGCTCTCTGTCCACATTGCTGTCTCTGTCACTTGACTGTGAAATTCTGGAGGCCAGGAACCATCTGTACCTGCTAGGTTTCCCCTTGGGTTTAGTGTATACAAGGGGCCACTGGGTAAAGGAATGAGGGTTTAAACTCTCAGCCTTGTATAATTACTCTTAGCCTTGGGAAAAATTTTGAGTAACACACATATAGCAAATGTAAGAAATCAGTTGACACACATGGTTGAAGACTGACTTTTAGGATTTTGCCATGTGAGATGTAGAAGCTGCCCCTGGCACAGAAACTCACATAGCTCATGAAAATCTTCTCCGTGGGTTTGAGGTGCCTTTGGATCTCACAGTCCACGGGGTGGATGACGACGATGCCATCGTCAGAGAAGACGTAGAACATGTTTCCCACGCTGAGGCCTGGGAGGAGCAAATGGGATGGTCACACCCCTCCAGGCAGCCGTCCCCCACCCAGGCAGGGTTCCATGCGACACTGAGCACACAGGAAACCAGTGGATGCATCTGGTGCAGGCATGAAATGCAATTCCTGATCAAGACAGAGCCAGGCAGCATGAGCAGTCTGCTCGTAGCTGTGTGAGTGGAGAAAGTACCCCAAGGATTGCGAATCAATGAAGCACATCAAAGGCTCTGTAGTTCCCAGGCTGTCCCCTCAAGTGCCCACAGCTGCCCTACGTCATCTAGGATTGCCCCCAATGTAGGTTTTCAAATAAAAGATGGTCTTGGTTTTGACATACACATTTGACCTTTTCTGTTCGGAACAGAAAAATCTCCCTTGGTTATTCCTTGTCAAATCAGAATGGATCAGATGATGCCAAGAAAGCAAAGCATCTGATTTTTAAAACACATTTGTGTACAGTGTCTCTCTCTGGAATGTGGGGCCCTAAGAATGCTGTGACTGGTATGCCTTTGCCCAAACTTATTCTTGGCCTGTCGGTGCTGGCTAATCCTTCCTTCTAGGCAGTCTTCTCCGATTTCTGTCTCCCCAGTTTCTCCACAGCAGCTCTGTGTAGGGCAGCAGACATTCCCTGGCCTCCAGCCTCGTCCTACCCTCCCCACCCTCCACACCCAGGGCTGTGGCTCTTTGAGGAGAACGGCTACTCACACTATCAGAGAGGGGACCTTGGGGACCATCTAGTTCAGCCTTCTTATTTTAAAGACAAAGAGGCCAGGCACGGTGGCTCACATCTGTAATCCCAGCACTTTGGGAGGCTGAGGCAGAGGATTGCCTGAACCCAAGGGGTTGAGACCAGCCTGGACAACTTGGCAAGAACTTGTCTCTACAGTAAGTAAAAAAATTAGTCAGGTGTGGTGGTACACATCTGTAGTTCCAGCTACTTGGGAGGCAGAAGCAGAAGGATTGCCTGAGCCTAGCAGGTTGAGGTGGCAGTAGCCATGATCATGCCATTGCACTCCAGCCTGGGCAATAGAGTGAAACCTCAACTCAAAAATAAATAAATAAAAAAAATTAAAGACAAAGAAACTGAGGTCCAGGAAAGGGAAGGGTCTTGGCTGAGGCTCCCTGTCTCTGTGCCAGAGTTGTGGTTAGACTGTGGGCCCTGCCTTTTGTCCTTCACTCTGTTTCTCCACACAAGGGAAACAAGGTACAAAGACACATATGGTCTGGTGCTCTCCTTCCCTCTTCCCGCTTCCCTTCTCCCCTCTCTCTCCTCCTCTTCCCTGCTTCCTCTCTACTGCTTCCTCTCTCTTTCCCCTCCCTCTCTCTCATCATTTCTTTTTAAAGCTTAAACATTAAGACTCCTGTAAATTCTCAGAAAACTAAATGTTCAGAAAACTCTCTTTCCTAGCATGCTCAAGAAACCAGTGTACTGACTTCATGGGCAATCTGGGCAAATTTTTAGTGAGTTAGAAAACCATAAAATGGAAAAATAGTAATCACTGTTTCACTTCCTTCCAGTAACCCTGTAGGCAGCCTTCTGGGCCTTGAAGTGGTGAGAGAGGCGTCACTGAATGTGGTCCCAACCCTGTGATAAGTCTCAACAGCCTCCCGGGTCCATGCTGAGATGAGCTCTGGGCAGGAGGGCTCCTGCCACTGGGAGCAGCTGGCACCCAGCCTCTCAGAAGCTGCTAATACCTAGGAGTACCCAGCGTAGCCCCTGATGGGGAATCCCTGGTGCTGGGCAGCTTGTCCCCAGAAAGCCAGATGTAGCTCACCACTTACAAATGCCAGGCCTCAGCCCCACAGCATCTGGGTTTTGCAATGAGCCCGCCAGCCCGCCCCAGCTCTGACCTGTCTATTATCTTGCCCACAATAGGAACTTCTCTTCTGTATACTCTCATCCAGCAAACTGCTTCTGCTCAAACCTAAGGGCCAGAGTGGGTCAAAGTCCCTGCTAAATCACAGACCCCAGGAACAGCCTCCTGGGCTTCTGGGAAAACTGATAGCTAGAAGAACCAACACAAGATTGAAAGTGTAATAGAGCCCACATGGGGTTCATGGCTATAGCTACCTCACAGGTCGAGCGCCTTGCTCACGGTTAGCCGCGGAATGTGAGGCTCAACAAACACTCGTTCAACAAATAAGTTACTTTATGATCCAGCCCCCTGGAAGGATCAGCCTGAACTTAGCTTCTGCTAAGAGGGCCTGAAGGAACTTTTGGTGCTTTCGTCTGCTCTCATCATCTCCTTTCTCCTACTGAGATCCAAGTGTGTCCTGAGGCCTGCTGGTCCCCTTTTGGCTCCTGCATCCCCATCCCCAGGCCTTGAGTTATAGCAGGGAAGGAGAGAAGAGTCTAGCCACCCACACATGATGGAATTTATTTCCTGTCCACTTGTTCAATATACCTACCAGCACTATGCCCTAAGGCAGCTGTGGGTCTGAAGTGGGCACTTGAGGGCCTTTTGCATTCTTGGCAGGTCTCCACATTTGAAACTTGAGTGCCCTTGCCTTAACCTTGCATTAGCAAAATAGCACCTCTTAAAGGACACAGAGCAAAAGCTCCCTGAGCATGGCGGCCTGGGTACTACTAGTTCAGCAGGAAGGGCATGAGTGGGTGGGAGCAGTGACTGTTGCTATTGGCTGAAATTCTTCATTTTCTGGGCTCTCCCTTTGTTTTGTTCCCAGACTTATTGTGCCAACTTTAATTGTTCTGAGTACGTATATGCATGCACATGCTACACTGCAGGTAACACCATGCAAAGCTCTTGAGGAAACCTTAGACAGGAAATATCCTGGCTTTTTAAGAGGCAGATTTTGTGCTTAACCCTGAAGTCATGTGGTGCGTCCTGCTGCTGCTTGTCTCTACGTTTGCCCACTGAGCTTGGGATACCTCAGAGGGATTTGGACTTGGCTCTGGGGTGTGTGGGGAAGGCACAGAATGAGGCCTGGGGCCTGGGCATGCACATGCACCCCAATAGTGACTCAGGCTTTAGGATCAGCTCCCACATGTGCCTGCCATTTTTTGAACCATATGAAATGGTCAGTGTTAGACCATTTTTGATGCACAAAAATGGCAATTTCATATGGATCAACCTAACAGTTAAAGATTTACAGAAATCATGATAGCTTTTTCTTCAGCATTTCCTCAATCAAAGCATACTTAAACTAAGCTACTATCTAGTAGAGACCTGTAACTTTTTTGAGGTCTTTTAAAAATAGTACAAGATAAGCAAAGCACTGAACACAACAGCAATATCAGCTACTGGAGAAAAGTTTAAGGCCAGATCTGACTAGGAACCCCTGGCAAGTGGCCTGCTTCCATGGAGGTTACAAGCCACTTTTATTGGAAACTTTCCATTATTAAATTTCTCATTAAAGACATTGGTACATTTTTAATTTGGTCCAAAGCACCTGACACTTGAGTTTGACATTGACCTTCCCCCTCCTGACCCCACTTGTGGGGACTCCTTAGTGTCTGGGAAAGCTGATGGCAGGCAGCTCATGGAAAAGATGGCCTGTCACAGAACCACGGACACACGTGAACACAGACAAGACACTGAACAAAGAAGCTCGGTACCTTCCTCTCGCCATAGGATGTTTGCAACTGCAGCGACAGAGAATTAGGAAAATGGGGATGTGATTGAGGGAAGGAAAAAAGAAGGAAGCAACGTCAAACCTTCACTGTAGTGGTGGCATTTATGAAGATACCGGTACCTAGCCCATCACTTACAGACACTGCACCACTCACCACCCAACAATGGGACCTAGGGGGAGCGCTGGAAATGAGCAAATGGTTTCAGGTCTCAAGACCCCTTCGGTTTCTAAATGAATCTTTGGAATCAGGCTTCTTTCCAATGACTCTGGCAGGCAGTTTTCTGGTCCTCGGGTCCTTGGCAACCTAGAGGCACCAGTGTGAGTGACCCTTGGTACTGAAAAAGGTCCTGACTCTGTAATACAACCTCAACCACCTAGAGGGTCTGTGCTGAGAGGGGCCTGGGTAAGAGAGCCCCCGATACTAGGAGCAGCTGACACCCAGCCTTTCAGAAGCTGCTAACACCAGGAAGTGCCCAGCACACTTCCTCCTGCTGGGGAATCCCTGGGGATTCCCGGGGCTGGGCAGCCAGTCCCTCGGAAACCAGATGAAGCTTTGTGCCACCTGAGTTTGATATTGGTCTCCCCCCACCTTCTGATGTGGTGGGTGGGCACAAACCCAGGGTTATAGAAACGAAACGGCTTTCCCACGTTCTGTGGATGATAAAAAGTGAACAACATCTCTCCCAGACGTCCTGAGTTACTTACAGGAGAACTGACTTTCAACTAAGATTCTCCTAGGAAAACCATGTGAAATACTTCTGATTAGCTCCTTTGATGATAAAGTCTTGACTGGAGTCCTTGACTGTGATCAATACCCGTGTCTGTGAAATCACATCTGCAGGCCTGCCTGGGGAACAGTGGCTATAAGGAAGTGTGCATTTAGCATGCCAGATAGTCTGGGTCCCTACAGTAGAGGCTACCATACACTCAGGTATGTGTGTGTGCACAGGCCAGTTTCTGGCCCACTGTGGGATGCCAGAACCAGGTGGGTAGATAGAGCATAGGTTACAGATAAACAGCAGGTCAGAGGCAGAACTGGGGCTGAGATATTTGAGCTTCCTTGTGTTCCTGGGCTCTGCTGACCAGAGATTTTCCCTGTAAACATTTCAGAGTTTTCTAGATTGCCAATGGAGGCCTGCTCACTTCCAGACACCTTCTGATCCCAGCTATATGCACAGAGGGATATGGGGTTTGCCCCTGACTTCAGGGGCTCATGGTGGGTGGTTGTTGCCCTGGTCCATCAGGGCCTCCCTTGCCACCCAACACCCCCAAACAGCTCAGTGAGAAGCTTAAAGGCAAGAGTCAACTCACGGGTCTTTCTAGCCGAGTCTTCAATGAAGAGTGAGGAGATATCTTCATCCACTCCCACTTCATTTTTGGCAATGCAGGTGTATGCCCCGGTGTCTTCATACCGAACACTGCCGATGTGGAGTTCACTCCCATTGGCTGCAGAAAGGTCAGTGCTCAGGGTGGCCTGCTCAGCTGGAGAAATCCCTTCTCTATTTCCTTTATGGGGCTATCGAGAATGTTGAGGTTAAAAACACAGCCCCTGGGTGGCCAACACCTCTGAAAATATGCCCAGGAAGCGCTGGCACAGCAGAAATTAACAGGATGGCCGGGGCCCGAGTGACAGCTTTTCATCATTGCTTTCTGAAGGCCAAAATCATGTGCAAGCCCAGATAACAGGAAAATTTGAGGAGACATCTGTTCACTCTTAGCCTGTCTGACTTAGGAACAAATTACACCACTCATAGCCATTAGTGTAGTATTAGCTTGAATTGGATGGGAACATTGCATTGCTGTCTACCAAGGGCAGTTCTTACCTAACAGAGAGAGCTGTTTGGACATCTGGGTTGAGACATCCATGCCGTTTTTCAGCCAAGTGATTCTGGGCATGGGGATACCCTCTGCATGGCATCTCAGGCTGGCCGCCACCCCAGGTTCCTGTGCCTGGGTCTCTGGATAGACGCGGATGACAGGTGGCACTGTGGGTGAGAGTCAGTGCTGGTAAGAGATGGCCCTGAGCTGGGTGCTGGCCTATGGCCCTCCCCTGAGACCTTGTTCCAGAGGAGAGACCCAAGAGATGACTGGGGTTCTCTGCTTAACCAGCTTACAATCATCCTTTTCGGCAACACAAGCTCTAAAAGAAAGGGCTGTGAAATGGATTGCAGGCAATAAACATTGCCAGGCTTTGTACATTATAATTCCTGGCTTTCATCATTATTCTGAATACGATCAGAAAGACATCCAAATATTTAATGCTGTTCAGCTGTTACATGTAAAGAGCAACAGCCACTGGAATTTATTTCTGCATGAATAAAATTTAGATACATTATCTTTCTGTTATCGGGAAGCCATTGGACAGGGACTTAATTTCTTGCAGGAAATGCTTCACAAAGCACTTATGGGTGCTGACTGGCAGGGCTCTGCTCTGGGGAAGTCCATTGATTTTCCAAGGGGTCATTTTTATTTCTCTACTTCCCAAACCCTGAGTCACGGGCTAGGCATGCCCTCCTTGGCTCTGCAGTGAATCAGTCACGGACCTTGGAAGTCAAGTTCAGGGATGGGGGTGTGACCTGGCTCACTCACCAGATAAGTGTGGGTAGGCAAGGTGCCAGCACCTTCCACAGAGCTCTGGCCCTTCTCACTCAGGCTGTGGGGAGGAACCTAGAAGAACCGAAGACAGTCTGGAGCCTCTAGCTCTGAGCCCAGGAAATAAAATAAATATTTTCAGTGGAGAGGGCTCTTTCTTATCCAGACATTTTGTTTTATACACTTTCAAATAGGATTCGTAGGAGTGTTATATAAACATAGCTGGATGCTAAACTAAACTAAACAAAAATATCACACACCTTTTGGAAGTCAGGCAGCTGTTTTATTCCTGAAGTGGACAACTATATTTTCCTAGAGTTATCTGGAAGCTCCTGTTGTCCAATAAAAGGAAGCATTCCAGTAATTTAGAAGTAAGAAGGGTTTCTTGGAACCAGAGTATAGAACAAATTGATACTTGTGTAGAAGGAGATGGTGGTGTGGAGCCTGGGACCTGAGCAAGGCAGGAAGATTCTAGTGATCTGTAGTGAGATGGGAAAGGACAAAAGAAAAACCCCATTGCCTCATTGTGAGAAATGGACTCTGCAGCTCCTGTCACAACTTCTCAGGAGGCCGCTAATTATTTGATCAACTCAGCCTGAGTTTCAAGTCTTTCCTCGGTTGATCTCTGGGGCAAAGTTGGGGGGCAGAGGTGAAAGCTAATGAACGGCTGGCAAGCAAGGAACATGATCCCCGCCCCAATGGCCCAGTGCTGTTTCAATAGCATGAGCTCAGAGCATCCTGTGCCAAACCACACAGAGACCAAAATCAGTAAAATCAGAGATGTTTCCCCAGCTTCTCTTTGTTTAAAGTTCTGGAGAGAGTCTCAGGGTGTGGCAGAAAGGCCTGTCCCAGGCAGCTGGGGACGGAGGCGGTAAATGGAGCTCTAGCTGAGGTGTGTCTGGAGGCATGCTTAGCACATAAACGTGTAGCTCACTTCTTTGACTCTCCCCCTTGGTTCAAAGAGGAAAGAAACTTCCCTAAACCCTGCCTTTGGTAGAGGGAGGAATGGGATTCAAGTTGAACAGAGAGCAGAATTTTGGTTGGGAGGTTATAATTCAAAAGCACAGAGAGAGAATGTGGAGGCCCAGGAGCACTGGACTGGGGGCTGGTTGGAGAATGTGGTAGAGTAACCAGAGTCCTAGAATAGGAATGGCCAGAATCTGGGGGTTAATAAACTTGGGTTCTTGTTAGATCACTATCTCTTTACACAAGCCTTCTGGGTAATCACCGAGTAATTTGAAGAAAGTGGGAGAAGAATCAGTGGAGGCACAAGCAGAAATGAATGCATCAATTGGAAAGCTAAAAAGGAATAGAATTGATAAATAAATCTAAAAGCTGTCTGTCTGTAAAAAACAACAAAACAGCCAAATTTCTGGCAAATTTGGTCAATGTCAAAAATACAAAAAGAGCACAGAGGGGCTTAAAAATTATGAGAATACTGTATTCAATTATGGGTAATAAATGTGAAAATCTCAATGAAATGGATCATTTAAAAGGAAGCTTTAAAAGACCAACAATGAATTAAGAAGAGAACATCTAAACAATTTTAAAGTGCTTCTAACCCAAAGTCACTTTGACTTGTTTTACAGGAGAGTTCCTTAGTGCATTTAAGGAAGAGATAGTTCCTAGAGCATAGAACAGGGAAGATGTTCTAAATTACATCATGAAGCTAGTATAGCCTCGGCGTCAAAACCTGTCAGAGAAAGAGTGCAAAAAAGACTATAGACCTATCTCACTTAGAACTAGATACACCCAAATCCTCAGTAAAATATCGACAAATCAAATCCAACATGGTGTTAAAAGAACATATTGTGACCAATATAATATGTTTCAATGGCAAACTCTTAGGAAATCTGTAATTAATCATTCCAAAGTCAAAGGGAGGCGAAGAGCAAAACCATTTGATTCTCTTGCTAGACCCTAGAAGAGCCCTTGAAAAAAGTCCAAAATCCATTTCTTGGGAAAAAGCCTTCAATAAAATAGGAACAGAATGATATTTTCTTCTTACAATGAAGAATATCTCTATAAAAAAGAATGGCAGCACCATTCTTTTTTGAATGGTAAATCATCAAGCCAGGGAAAAAGAAAAAGGAAGACGGAAAGGCAGTAATAACAGACTCTCAGTGTGATGCTGGATGTTGTCAATGGGAGCCAAGAAATGAAAGGCACAATATTAGCAAGATGGAGAAAAATCATGTGTGAATATCTTCCATGTAACAAGCCAAAAAAGTGGTAAGGATTAATAACTGAGCCCAGGAAAGGGACCAGGACCAACACACACAAAATTGATAGCTTACTTACACCCCAACAATGACCAGACAGAAACTACGATGGAACTCATGAAGAAAACCAGAAAACCTCACCAACAACATTATTAAAAGAGTTGGATAATCGGAGAGAGACATTCTTGGATAGGAAGACTTACTTTTGTTAAGAAACAAGAAATTCCAAATTAAGCCACATATTTAATCTAATTTCAGTTATAAATCAGTTGGTAGGAGCTTGACAAAACATTCTGAATTTAGAAGACAAAAATGTGCCAGAACTGCTGAGGAAATTTTGAAAAATGAGAGTGATGATTGCCCTTTTGCTGTAAGGATATTACAAAGCGCAACAATACCAAATGTTGCAAAGTGAGGAGGAGAAGAGGGAGGGAGGGAGGGAGGAAGAAAGGGTGAGGGAAAAACCAAGAGAGTTCTCATCTGAGTCTGGGACCACCTTAATGATCTGAATGGATTTTACAAGGCTCCATCCATTCCACACTGTGCAGCCAAAGTTGATTAAATGCCAGCCAAGTGTCAGGCATGATGCACGTAGTTGTGGGTAAGATAGCCTCAGGCCCTGCTCTCATGAAGTTTTGTTCTGTTTTTTTTTCTCATTAATCAGTATTTTTTATTATGGTTTTGTGGGGTACAGTTAAGGGTTAGGTGTACAATGACGTTTCATTCAGGCACCCTGTAGATAAGAAGTGTTTTCCCATCCCCCGACAGATATTTGCTACTGTTAATCCCATCCCCCTCCCCCTTGTTCTGTTTTTAAAACGTTTTTTATTTTTTTAAAATAGAGGTGGAGGTCTTACTATATCAGCTAGGTCCCAAACTCCTGGCCTCAAGCAATCCTTTCACTTTGGCCTCCCAAAGCACTTGGATTACAAGTGTGAACCACTACACCTGGCCCCTCATGGAGCTTTTTGGCTGAGGAAGGTGTTTAAACAATTAACTGCAAGTGTGATGACTCCTTCCAGAGGGAGATCTGGAAGCATGAAGACAGTGGTCCTAGAAGACTAGTCAGAATAGAGAGCAGGCTCCACCCTTTCACCTCACAGAGGAAATACCTCCTGAAGCCCACCATTTTTTATTGGTGGTGGGCCTATTCAGTGAACTGGGAACTCACGGAATGGGCTTGCCACCAACCTGGTGGTTTGTGGACTGACTTCCTCATTGAAATGGCCAGTGACCAGCACCAGTGTTGAAGATTGGCCTTTGCCTCAGCCCTGATCTTTGACAGGAATCTTGCAGACCCACGGTGTTTTCATACTAGAGCATGTATCAGAACCACCTGGGGAACTTGGTAAACCAAAACGCTGGGCTCACGCGCACAGCATCTGTTCCAAAGGTCTGGGATGAGGCTGGGGAATTTGTATCTACCTGATAGGTTCCAGGTGAAGCCCTGAGTCAGCTTCCCCA